AAGTCCTGGGTTTAATCTTATGCAACACACACACACACACACACACACACACACACACCACACACACACACACACACACACACTGCCATCTTAAAATGAGAACTGGGACTCCCACTTTTTCCAACAGTAAATCTGAGTCTTTCAACAAAGGAGTCAAAGGGGCTGGAGTCCTAGCACAGTGGGTAGGGCATTTGCCTCGCACACGACCCACCTGGGTTCTATTCCCAGCATCCCATATAGTCCCCCGAGCACCACCAGGAGTAATTCTTTAGTGTAGAGCCAGGAGTAACCCCTGTGCATCGCCAAGTGTGACCCAAAAAGCAAAACAAACAAACAAACAAAAAACAACAACCAAAAAAAGGGGGTCAAAACTAAAGCCATTATTTTAATAACATGTTAACACAGGCCCTCCCGTTGATCGTCGATTTGCTCGAGCGGGCCCAGTAACGTCTCCATTGGAGACTTTGTTGTTACTGTGTCTGGCATATCGAATACTCTCGGTAGCTTGCCGGGCTCTCCGAGAGGGGCGGAGGAATCGAACTCGGGTCAGCCATGTTGGCCGCTTGTAAGGCGAACGCCCTACCCGCTGTGCTATCGCTCCAGCCCACAATCTCTTTGCCCTGAACACGGTCTTGCCTTCCTTCTTTGTTTCTCAAGAAAGACTTGGAGACATTTGTCCTCAGTTCACTGTCTTACCTTGTATTTTCTTGTGAACCATGTAGTCACTCAAATATAACAGACAACACAGTAACTTAATTCACATGGTTGTTGTAAGAGAGGATTGAGCGGGCATCACTTTGAAGTTCACTGCAATGTCAAGGATAAATGGAGAAAATTTTGTTTTTCCATTTTACGTTTGTCTCTTATGGGAGGGATCTCCCAAAATTCCCTTCCATAAAACTTTCTACAAAGGCAGAATACAACCAATGAGTTATATTCTAACCAATATATTCTAACCAACCATTATAACCAATGAGTTAGGGTGTGCCTGAATATTATGCTGATTTTACCTTTTGTAGGATTAAAGCTTATAGAATTTTTTGCATTTTTAAATTTTGGGGCCACAGCAGTGGTGCTCTAAGCTACTCCCAGCTCAATGCTCAGGAGACTAAGGGGTGCCAGGGACTGAATATTTTTCAGGTTCCTGCCTTAAAAGCATGCACTCATTCCCTTAAGCTATCTCTCAGATCCTGAAAGTACCAGACTTTTAATCCATATATAGCATCCACAGGCTGCATCTTTTCAAATGTCATCACATCTTTCTAAATGACATCATTTTCTTCGTGAACAGAAAGAAAAGTCTTCATCTATATTCCCGGCAAGACAGACATGCTAGGAGTTCACTGCTCCCAGTCTGTTGAATGTTGAAAGTCCCTCCAACCAGATTCTGGTTTTGTTTACTTCTTAACATACCGCCCCCCCCAAGACTACTCCTCTCTTTGGATCCCTCTTCCAAGGCCCACTCAGAGCACCTCCCCCAGAGGCAGCACCCCAGTGAGTAACACATGGTGGGGGTGTGTAGGAAGTGATCAAAGACATGCAAATGAAGTGGTACAGCTCCCAGGGGAAAGCAGTGGCCACAGGTGCCAAATGCAGGGAGCTCAGGAGAGAGTTGTCACTACACTGTGGGCTGTGCCACTTACTGCGTGCCTGGGAACAGAACTGGGTGGATCAAAATGACTCTTGTTTTGCTCATCACACGACTTAACTACACAACCTGTGTGGGTTCACAAAGTATTAGCATCAAACCTATGATTTCTGTGTGGGTGGGCATGTCTGTCTTCATTTTCAACTACTAAATTAACCTAGAAAAGAAAAAAGTTGGATTGACAATACTGAAGACAATCCTCCTCTGCATACTAGCGAGAAAAATAATGTGAAAAATGGGGATCTGGGAATTAATGCCAATGAAAGGCCTGTGAAAATGATTGGCATTGTACCCAAATATTCTCTCCAAGGAAGACCACTAAGGGTGCAAGGAGCAGGAATACTCCTACCTTTGGTCTCTTCTAGTCACTAAGATTTTAACAACCAACTAAAATTGGACTCAGGGAAGAGGTTTAACATTTATTTTTCCTTTTCCAGGCACGTGTCCTAGGAGGGATGGGAAAAGCCATTTCATTACACTATTGTCTTTGGGATCTCAAATGACAGTGGCATTAGTGGTGTTCCCTGCAGCCAAGTGTTCAATATCAATTGGAAGAACTGCAGAATGGATCAAGTGAGACTAGAATCTCAACGGATCTCCTCCCAGGCCCAACAGGGTTGAACAGGGACCGCAGCCAACGTGAGTCACTCAGAGGGAGACTTAGAAAGGCCAGTTCACAAGGACTATGAAGTTAGTCAACAGTATATTCAGCAGATATTATTTGTGTCTCTCTTGCACTGTGTGGAGAGAAAGAGAGAATTCTGGGACCAGGGACATATAAAGCACACACAAGTCCTAGTGTTAGCATCACATGGTCCCCTGAGCACAGAGCCTGGTGTGCCCCTGAGCACTGCTGGGTACCGCCCTAAAACAATAAACAGAAAGAAAGGAAAAAACAAGAGAGGATTTCCTACTGTCTCTAGAAATGCTGGACTATGTGTGAGTGGGAAAGCCACCAGTAACCTTGAAATTGGCTGGGGCAAGAACTCTTTCAGAAAAATAAAAGGACAGCCAACTTATGCCTAGTTACAAACTTTAGGTCATTCATGCACACAGTGTTATGCCGCGTCTTCTAACATCTGCAGGTTGTTCCATCCAGACTATTGATATGATAGTTGTCAGTCTGCCTGACTACGTGGCTCATGTTGATTGCCAGCACCTGAGAGCAGGGGCACGCCTACTTTTCTTTCCTCCATCCACAGTAATGGGTCAGGTGCCTGACACAGAGAAATGCCCCTGAAGTAGGAGTGAAATAACCAAGTGAACACTGGAAAGAAGTCACACAAATCCAGGTGCTACATGTGTTTGCTAGCTCTGTGCATGCACCTTTGCACAGGCCTGAGGTGCTGCTGGAATTCAGCAAGGCAACTTCAGAGGTGCCTGTGTGTGTCCTACCCAATGCTGGGTTGTGCAAAGTCAAAAGCAGGAGGTTGGTTAGAGGGGAGTCTTTGAACACCAGGGTTGGAATGTATGGGGTTCTAGCCTCCTACCCCCACCCCACTCAGGCCAGGGCTGGTCTTTCCTGGACTTCAGTCTCCTTCAAAACTTGATGCATCACCTTTGTTTCTCTTGGTGTCCTGAAATTCTAATATTTAGGCACTATGGTGAGTCCAGAAATTTTGCCAGAGACAAACTCTGCTTGGAGTGTAGAAAACAATTAAGTTTTAAAATATAAGATGGTTCTATTCCAGGGGAAGGGGGGAGATTCTTTTCAGAACCTGGTCCAGACTGACCAGTATCTTTCTGCCATCCTTCCCCACGTGCAGAAGTCAGGATCTCCAGCCCCCATGGCAAAAAGAAAACTCTTCCCAGCCTGGACCCGCCTAGCTCACGCATCCAGCTATCACAGCATTTGCAGTTCAGAGGAAGGAGGCACCGACGCCCAGACTTGCGCAGATTTTGTTGGACCAGTGGCAGAGTCACAGAAAACCTTGAATTAGGTCAGAAAGCCAAATTTCCCCCTGAGAATTCAAAGAGCACGGCCACAGAGACTCCTCGGAGCAGCCTTGGAGTTGCTGCATTAGAAGAGAAGCAAAGAACTCCACAATTCAAGAGCATGAGCAGACATGGTTGCCTTCCTCTGCTTTAGGAAAGAATATTCGGCGGGGATGTTCACTCTCTCTTCCCATCTCTCAAGATGTTACTTGAAAAAGCCCAGGGCTTGAGCACAAACCCACCAGCATCCCCTTTCATGCCCCCAACACAGTAAGCTCTCTACTCTCTGATAAACACTAATTGTAAATAAATCTCATTTAATCTCTACAAGCCACAATAAAAATCTTTCACCTGCAACATAGGGCTTACAGTAGTGTCTGCTTGCTCAGCCAGGGCCGGAAAACACAAGGTCTTAAATAAACTCTAGCAGGAGGCACATTTTCTCTCTCAAGCATCTTCCACTGACCTTCTTTTTTAAAAATATGTATAGGGAGGAGGAAAGGGGAAAACCCTACCCCTCCCACCCCATTCTCTGTACAAATCGGCCAATAAATCTCGTGCAAAGACACAAGGGGAAAGGACAGAAGCCAACAGGTGGAAAAAGGCTTTTTGTTTCCTTAGAAATGCAGAGGCACTTGGTCTGTATCCTCGTCTATTTGTCTCGGGGTGTCTTTAATGACGGTTTTATTATCATGATGAGAAGGAGCTGGAAGAATGAGAACACTTGCACTTGGTGCTTTCACAGCCTCGGAGAGCTGGAAGGTTCTCCGCACGCGCTAGACACAGTGATCTGCTGGGTTTGGCCAGACCCAGGAGAGGCAAGCAGCATCCCCCGAACGGCTCTCCGCACGTTACAGACTGGGGGGAGACCGAGGCATCGTCCGGCCCGCGGCTCCCTCCCAGGATCTCCCGGAGAAATCCCCGCGAAGGGAAAAGTTTCTGGAGGGTCTCGCGGCGGAGTTGTGCTCCCTTCGCGCCTGCTCGGGGAGCGGGTGATGGGGACGCGGGGCGCGCCGGGGAGCGTGGGGCGCACACGCACCGGCACACGCGGCCACGCACAAAGCTGCCCGCACTCTGCAGCCCGCGGGCTCGGCGGGGGCCGGCTCCGCGCCCACCCCCCGGCCTGGCCGGACCCGCGCCGCCTCGCGCCCCGCTCGGCTCCCCGGCCTCCCCCTCGCGCCCTCCCCCCTCACACTCTCCGCCCGCCCCTCGCCATCCACCCCTGCTCCCCCACCCACCCAGAGGCACAGATCGTGTTACTGGGGTTCCCTCGAAAGAGGGGCCATGCCCAGCCCGGAGCTCCTCGAAAGACTTCCAGGAGCCCGGCGCCCGTCCAGGGCAGCGCAGGAATGAGACCCCCGCTTCCAGGCTCGGCGAGCAAGCCTGCCACCGAAGAAGCAATTGTTGGGGCTCTTACCTTTTTTATGAGCAGAAATTCTGGAAAATCATTTCAGACACGGAGGGGGGAAAGTGACTGAAGACAAAAAAGACCCTTTTCCTGCAATCCCTGGCCTCCCGGTATCAAGACACCAGGACAACATCAAAGCAACTTAGGGGGAACACTTTAGGGGCCTATTGTCTGCTCTGGTCTGATCTGTTTTCCTTCTGACTCCCCCTCTCGCTGCTGTGACACTTGGTACGGCCCAGGCATTCATGCCAAGTAGCTTTCACACATGGAAGCTTGTCTCAAGCAATTGCTGACAAGCCACAAACAAGACATTCTCCCTCCCTTCTCCTTGCCCCCCCACTCCTCCCCCTCCACCTTTCCCTCCTCCCCCCCACATCTCCCCTCCTCCTTTCTTCTGAATGCAAACTCAAACTCTCCAGTGACAAGCAGGCTTGCAGGCTTGGCCTAGCTGCGCGCGCAGACACACACACACACACACACACACACACACACACAAACACACACGTGCGCACGCACACACAGGCACACAAGCAGCTCAGCTAGTTGCTACTGCACTGGGAGAGTTAAGAGACAGGAAAAATCCTAGGCTAAGTGGGGGGCAGGGAGAGAGGGAGATAGGGAGGGAGGAAGAGAGAGAGAGAGAGAGAGATGCCTTCTATGTCCTAGTAAAATGGCAGAAGAGAGCTGAGCCTTTTTGAAAAACAGGGGTGCCACACACACACACAAACACACACACGTGCTCACATGCATTCAGGGAGATGGAGCTCTAGGGAGAGAAAAAGCAATGACTTCACAAAGGGGAAAGCCAAGTCTCATGTGCGGGAGGTGAGCGAGTGGGTAGACCTAGCGTAGGCTTATGTTCAAGGTTTGGGTAGAGAGAAATTCATTCCCGAAGGATCCAGTCTTTCTTGGCTGCATAATGGCGCACAGACCTGGGCTACTTGTTCAAATAAACCCTCGAGATGTGCAAATGTGCAAGTAAACTTAACTGTGGGTTCAACTTGTACCCAAGCTATTTTTAAAGCGGAGCTTTTGCTTTTTCGGTTTTGTTTTTAAATAGAAACCCTAGAGAGCAGTAGCACAGAGAGTAGTAACAAGTAGTGTAAACTCTGAGAGCTGTGAAGTGTGATGCTAAAGTTACTGATTGCCAGGCAGCTGGAATTTATGGAGGGAGGGTGGGCGTCTTTGGGGCTGGGGGGTGACTGTGAGCTGTTTTCTAGGAATGAGGTAGGATCATGAATATGGCAAGAAACAAGCAGGAATTTGATTGGTGTGGAAGGAGGAGGAAGGTGGGGGCTCCGAGGAGGGAGGGAGGGAGGGAGGGAAGGAAGGAGGGGAAAAAAGCCTCTGCATTAAAAGGGCAGAAGAAAGATGGAAGCTCAGAGACTGAAACATGTGAAGTAAATGAGATGGCAAAGAAAGGCATAAAATATTAGCCAGAAGGAGCACTAGGGTATGCAAAAGGTGCAGGGAGCATGAAATCAGCAGGGCCAGTGGCAATGGGGGAAGGACAGAAGGTTTATGTGACAGTCATCCTTTTAGCAGGCTGTGGGGACACCGATTCCCCAGGCTACAGTGAGGCTCTCTGGGCAGGACTAGAATGAATGGAAGTAGAGACCTCACCTGTGAGGCTTTTCCCCCATGACGCTGCTTCCACTCGTTTCCACAGAACCATCCCTTCCAGATTAGAAACGAGGTGGACACATGCCACTCACTCCTTCATAGGGCTGAGGTAAAAATAGATGCTGGCTTTTTCCTTCCAGTATTAGCCAGTGGCTTGTCAGGCCTTGAGTCTCACCACGTCAAGGTCCATCTGGGTTCTGGCTCAGTCGCTTCCAGGTCAGAGTCTCTATCCAGGATCTCCCTTAGGACAGTCTATCTTCACGATGATGGTCATGGTGAAAAATGACAGAAAAAATGACTTCAGAAGAAGTATTTACTGGATTTTCAGCCTTTCCGTAAGCCTTTGTGCTTCAGACATTTTTTTTTATAAAGGTCCTCTCCACTCACTGCTGGCTGAGGTGAGGGAGATGGAGAGGCTGAAACACTTGTGTGAGGTCCCCCAGTAAGGACCCCACATTTGTCCTCACCCAAGTTCCCCCATGATGCCCCAAGCCATCAGCAGTACAAGTGCACTGTTTCTGTACCCCAGGACTAGGCTTGGACCCTCCCACTCTGACCACTATCTGACCTCCCTGGACAGGGGACTGACTCAGCATCCTCACCTGAAGGTGGCAACTCACCTGCACTCACCTCCCAGGTCAGAACTATTTCCTGGATCAGCTTAACCTGGAGGTACCAGGCAGGGTAGGAGGCCACGGACCAGGCCTGCACTTTCCTTCTGTACAAAAGTCTCTAAAGCAGGGTTGGAGCAATAGCACAGTGGGTAGGGCGTTTGCCTTGCACACAGCTGACCCAGGTTCAATTCCCAGAGTCCCATATGGTCCTTCTAGCACCACCAGGAGTCATTCCGGAGTGCAGAGCCAGGAGTAACTCCTGAGCATCACTGAGTATGACCCCAAAAGAAAAAAAATCTCTAAAGTACCCCCAGAGTGCTCACAATGTGATGGCAGTGATGGTGCTTATTATGCACTTGCCAAAAATACCAGACAACCCCAGGAGTTCTCAACTCTGACAGTCCCGTCTTCCAGATGAAGAAGCTGAGGCACAAAGTCTCAGTCCTATACTGGACGCACTTGGCCGGAAGCGCTGGTTAAACAGAGTCCCAGCCATTCACCTACCTGAGACAGATTCTCATGACTGGATTGTTCCAAAAAGAGTGGCTCCAATTTCCAAGCTAAAGGCTCCAGCTCAGGAGAGAAAGTGAGCAGCAGTAATAATCCTCATATTTTCACACACAGCCTCCAATCTCCTGATTTGCCAATAAAAAGCTAATGAAGAGGAAAACGTGTCTGAGGGTCCCCCCACCCCTGATTGTCCCATTTTCTAGGGCTTCCTTGGTATAGCAGGGAATCTTCCGCCTCTGGGTCCGAACACAGAGGTCTCTAGGACAAATGCTCTTACTTCTAGTACTGCCGGATTCTGCCTGCCAACTCCAAAGAAAAATAAGAAGATCCAAGTGGAAAAGAGAATAAGGAAAAGTCCTGACGCTGTAACTAAGCTTATTTGACAAGGGTTCTGAATAATCAGCATAGAGTTAGAGGGAACTACTGCCTTTGGTAGAGTGAAGACCTGGATTTATAGTGTGTTTCCAGTGTGGGAATATATCTGCTAGGCAAACCCTGTTTCTCAACTTTATTTTTTTTAATGTATCTATTTATTTATTTTTGCTTTTTGGGTCACACCTGGTGATGCACAGGGGTCACTCCTGGCTCTGCACTCAGGAATTCCCCCTGGCGGTGCTCAGGGGACCATGTGGAATACTGGGAATTGAACCTGGGTTGGCTGCATGCAAAGCAAATGCCCTACCCACTGTGCTATTGCTTCAGCCCCATGTTTCTCAACTTTAAAGAGAGCTGATGGAATTTGTTCTAGAACCTCCACATCTTTGAAATACTCTCATTCTAAGAGAGGTCCATTAATAAGGAGCTTGAAAGTCAAGATCACTGACAAGATGTATGTTAGGGTATATATAGGTGGTGTCTTCTCATGAAAGGGTTGGTATTGAGGGAGGGTGCCAGGAAGTCCCTTCCTGGGTTGGTCCACTCCTGTTATGACAGAGTACTTCTCTGTCATAACTATTTCCCACTTTTTGTTCTTTGGTTGCTAGAATTCCCACAGATTGCAAATTCACTTATGTTATCAAGATCTCAAAAAATGCAAACAGGGCTAAAGAGGAAGAGAAATTCAGCCTTTCTTGCTTTTACGTGAATCATTTCATTAAACTACTTTCTTGAGAGCACTGAATTCAGATTGAATTGGAAAGGAACGATGGGGTGGGGGGATGCAGATGGTTTTAGAATTTGGAAGATTCTTGGGCATGTGAGGTCTGATGTGGGGGTAAGAGAAAGCTGAGGGAACACACAGTGATCGCCCATGAAAAGATAGGGAGATACTGAAGGAACACAGGCTACTTTGTGTCTCATTCTAGGGCAAGTCTATGACTAAAGACAGGAAAAGAGCTCTATTCATCTTCCTGCATACCCTTTTTTTGCCCTCATATGGTATCTGCTAGCAACAGGTACCTATGGGGTGTATGGACTTGTGTTTCATTTAAAATATGGTTTCCATGAGGGCAAAACATTCAGCTTTCCAAAGACCCAAGTTACAGATGAACCCTAGAAAATCCAGCCCGTTCCTAGTACGACATCTTTATTCCAATATATATATTTAATCAGCAGGGTGGGCTGGGGCAATCGGATGAAAGGGGCTTCTCTTTCCCCCACATTTTGGAAGATGAATTGTCTGAGACAAGGAAGAGAGCCAAGCAGCAAGTCAAGAAACACATTTCAAAATTTACCCAGATAAAAGCAGCAATTTAGAGGCAGGCAAGATTAGAACTCACCTTATCCAAAGCCACCTCTCCTAATTATAAATTAAATGAATAATATCACAATATTGCCACCTCTACCCCATGATTATAAGGCAAAAGTGAGTTGCTGGGTTCTGGAGTGAAAAAGATCCGAGTTCCTCTCTTGGCGTGTATATAAGCCAAACATCCATAGGCCACTTTTTTAATCTTTCAGAACCACAGTTCTATAATACTTCATAAATTGTCATGAAATCGTTACTAAGTTTGTCAAGAGTTTATCAAAAGTAAAGTGCTATACACATTTTAACTGGTGATACACAATAGGAATAACGAGTAGGAAGATTAACAATACTGAGACCAGAGAGATAATACAGCAGTTAGGGCACTTGCTTTGAACATAGCAGACCTGGATTCAGTCTTCAGCACCAAAGATGGTCCTCTGAGCCTCACCAGGAGTGATTCCTGAGCAGAGAGCCAGAAGTAAGCTCTGAGCACCACGGGTATGGTCCCAGCACCAAAACAAACAAATTAAAAAGAGTAACGGCATTAACTGGGTGTCAGGCATGTTCTTTCCATTCACAGTCTCATTGAATTGTCTCAATCCAGCTCCAGGCACAGTGTCAGGTATGGGTTTGCATTCATGTTGTGAGTCAGGCAGACAGTGTCATCTACTTACTGGCTCTGTCACTCTGATCTAGTTCAAACTCTCAAGCTTTCTGAGTTTCCCTTTCTTCTGGGAAGGTGGGGAGGGCTGCACCTAGTGGTGCTCAGGGCT